TACAGGTAGGAGGCCAGCCAGTGTTGCTGTGGTTAAGATGGCTCTATCCTACATGGCTGACTGCACAGTTTGAGTCCTCGACCAGATGGCTTGAAAAACACACTGGGTATGTTTGCACATGCCAAAATCCAGAGAGGAGACTGAAGGAGAATAGTTGGTGGTGTGGCTATCTCTCCTGGGGGTTGCTTTCCCACTGTCTCCCCAACTCTCTAGCTAGCACACTCCCTATAGCAAAACAACAATAACAACAAGTAGGAGGTCAGCCAGTGGAGTTCCCACATGGCCAACTATGTGGTTCAAGTCCTGGAGCCAGTGACATGAAAACACGGGGGACACGTGTGCTCAGAATCCCAAAAGGATGGAGAAATGGAGGATAAGGGTTGCGGCATGACCATTCCCCATGGAGGATGCTTTCTCACTTTCCCTTTCTCTGTCTTTCTCTAGTGAGTGCCTGTACCCTCTTGTTAAATTTTTTAGAAACAGAAATTCAAGTAGGCAGTCATGATCAAAGAGGAGACCTCTCCCCTCCTGCACACCAGGCTTAGGAAAGAGAACAACAGTTTTGGCTTGACATCCTAATTCCCGCCAGCTGGAGAGAGGCACTCCTCATTTCAGGAATGGTTCATGTAGCCCAGGTTGAATTCTGCGGTTTACAGGGACTTGAAATGCTTGCTCCCCACCCCCATAGGTGTATGTTCTGTGTCCTCGTTCCAGTTCCTCAAAGCTGATATAACCCCTAACATAATTAAAAAGTTCTCCCAGTAAGCAAAACAAAAACGCAGTTCTACATCCCATCATTTCTGTTGCAAAGTTTGCCCTGCTGAGGATGGAACGAGAGATGTGGCCTCTCACAGTCCTATTTACTTGACAAGAGGGTGTATTTACCTACTGCATCTCATTCCCCCTAAAGTGCAGCTTACAGTTTCAGAAGAGCTTCTGCCCTGGCAGAGAATGGGGTGAAAGTGTGAGGACAGTGGGGACCAGAAAGACGAGAACATGGTTCAGAAAGGAGTTTCTTGGGGGGAGGGCATAATACTCAGTTTTTAGGACCTTGTGTCCTGTCCCACTCCTGGGTAGGGGTGGATTGAGAAAGTCAAATGACAAAGTGGCAGCAGGAGATAGGATAACATTATTCCTCCAGCTTCTCCGGTCAGATTGCTCATATCAGGCACAATCCATTTCTTTTCCCAGCTAGGGTAGGTGGGAGGCATGGGTAGCCGCTCGTTCCCTATGAAGTCAGTCTTGTTCTTCTGAAGATTCTGAAGTGGAGTTGACAAGACTCTCAACTAGTCCACTGTAGAGGGCCGGCATCTGCTGGGACATACTCCAGACTTTGCCATCACGTATACTTGGGAGGATTGAACTTACAGCTTCCTAGAACTACCTGTTGAAGCGGCCCCCAACGCAGGCAGCACCCGTGCCAGAACCTGGGCTCCTGGCCTTTAATGCCCCACTCTCCCTTCCCTAAGATGACCCAGCCGTTCCTGCCTATGGCTTTGGGCCACTGAAGCATATGACTATTAACCGAAGAGCACCTGAGTATCTCTGCTGGTGATGTCAAGAGGATATTTCATAAGAGGTAACACATGTCTCTTCTGGAGGGATCTCCAAAGCTTAGGAAGGTTTCCTCTGAGCAGCTGTCTTTTAACTATTATTATGGATGTATTATGAATTTTCATGGCCACAAACAGTTCACCTTGAATAAATAAATGGGGAAACCTGTGCGCTAGGTGTTTGTTGAACTTTCAGGACAGATAATGAAAGCTGGGAACTTCCACGAAAGGGATCCTTCTTATCTAGGGCCATTTTCAGTGGCTGCTGGAATGTCACGGGTTGGGACTACATTTGGCTTGGCAGAAACAAGGCAAAGCGTGGAGGGAGCACCAGTGTGAGTGGGTGGGAGGTGCAGGGTGGGACTGCAGCTAGAGGTGGTCAGGCTGGAACAAACGAGGACCATCATGTTTGGGAGGGCTGCCTCCTCCTCACTGCTTAGCCAGGCTAGCTGACAGCCAGCAAGGCCAGAGGCGCTGCACAGGGGCTCTTGACTAAGGGTGGGAAGTTGGGCGGGTTTAGTCCATCTCTTTCAGGAGGACTGAGAAACGCTAACATAATGATGCCCTTATGCTAGAACTGGGGGAGGAAGGAAGTAGGGGTGAAGGTGAGACGTGAGGAGAGAAAATTAGAGATCTTACATAAGGACATGTATTCATAAATTGCAAAAAGTTCGCGGGACGGTGGAGCGTGGAGAAGGAGGGGAACGTATGAGAAAGCTGCAGGGCTGGGCTGTGGAAACGAAGTTCGTGACTTACCGTGAAAGGCAAGGAGCAGATGGCGAAGGTGATGGTCATAATAGCCAGGAGAATGAGGTGGTCGGTCTCCTCCGCCACGGACACCCTTTCGCCTTTCCTGCGGGAGCTGGGGCCGCACCCGCCGCTGCCCGAGGGCCCGCAGCGGCTTCTCCTGCCTCGGCGGTGCATGCGGATGAGGTTGAGGATGACGCTGAAGTTGCAAGCGAGCACCGCGATGATGAGGAGCAGCAGGACGGTGGCGTACAGCTGCAGGTACGCGGTCGGCTCGTGCCGGATGAAGCACCACGTCCCGGGGCAGTACTGGACGTACTGGCCGTAGCTGAGCAGTGGCAGGGAGCAGAAGAGCAGCGACACGCCATAGATGGCGGGCAGCACCGCCAGGCCCCCGCGGCGCGTCATGCGGCGCTGGTAGAAGTAGGGGTGCCCGATGGCGAGGTAGCGCTCCAGGGCCATGGCGAAGAGCATGAGCATCGTGGCCAGGCTGAAGAAGGTCATGGTGAAAGCGAAGTAGGTGCACACGCGGTTCTTGGGTGCCAGGGCCACCAGGGTCTGGTTCTGCGCGTACGAAGCCAGCACTACGGGGCTGATGAGGCAGGTCCCGAGCAGGTCGGTGAACACCAGCTCGGTCACCAGCACGTGGAATAAGGAGATGGAGTTCCGACGGCTGGCGCTGCGCCCGGAGTCCCCACGCCAGCGGCGTGCCAGCAGCGCCAGGGCGAGGAGGTTCCCCAGCACCCCGGCTGAGAACATCACGGAGCTGATGGCGGGGCTTTCGCCCGAGGGGAGCCACTGCAGACTCTCGCAGTCCTCCGGCCGGGAGTCATTGGAAGCATTGCCCATGGCGGGATGCCTGGAGGAGAGATGCACCCTCCTCTCCCGGCCTCTACCTGGGAGGAGGAGGGTCTGAGAGTCCGAGCGCTCCTAGAGCCTGAGAAAGGGGAGGGACCGAAATCCACAGCCCCCTTCCGGCCCCTCGCAGGTTCGCCTCGGGTCTCCCGCCGCGCGCCCAGTGGCCGGCTGGGCCGGCGCAACCGGGCGACGCTCGAGGCTCCTGAGCGGACCGGGGCCGGCCCCCGAGCCGGCGAAGAGGGGAGCCGACGCGACCGCACCGGGGCGGCCCAGGAGCGGTGTCCCGGAGGGGCCAGTGCGAATGGCCGTGAACTGCCTGGGAGGCGGGACGCGTCACTCTTACCCTAACGCGGCTAGTTCCTGGGGCGAGCTGGCGGAGACGGGGGCGGGGGAAGGAGCGGTCAGAACATCCGCCTCGCGCGGCGCTGGGCTCTCCCGACGCAGGCTGCCGGCGTCGGGTGTTGCAAGAGCCCGCCCGGGTGGCGTTCTTGGAGCCCCGAGGCTCCTGATCCCGCTGCAGCCTTGTTGCCATCTGACCGCGATCGGTTAGGGTGCGCTTACTGACCTCGTGGCGGGGCACGAACGGGTTCTGCCTCAAACACAGGGAAGGCCTGGCCAACCAGGAAAGCAAAGCGACTCACCAAGCAATGAAAAAGTTAGGAGGACTTAGGCTCGTGAGAGGTGAACGACGGACATCAAAAACGTTTAAGTAGGACTAGTGTTTTGTTTTGTTATTTAATATTCCCGGGAAGATGCACTGAAGGCGGGACAAACATTGGAAGCGAAAGCAAGTCGGTCTATCCAAGGAACCAAGCCGTGCACATACTGGCCACCTGTTGCGCCGCTGCTTCGATTCGGTTAGGAAGCGGTTCACCTTTCCTATGTCAACACCATAACCAATAACCACTTGTTTAAGCAACCATCTAAAAAAAAGGGAATGGGTCTTAGAGTTGTGTTTGTGGACAGTTTGAAAACCGCTGCACATTATCGCCCTCTACTCAAGTTTAGCCTTGTAAGAAAATGTGGCTATTTCAATGCTCGTTCGGTTACCCCAAAAGACCCATTCCTGGTAAAGTGTACCGGTAAGTGACCAGTTTCAGGCTAAGGCTGACAAAATTGGTCACCCATTGCCTGTTGTCGTCATTGTAGAATCCGGAAAATGGGCTGATATTTAAAATGAAACAAAAGCCAGTCTGACAGATGACATGTGGGTAGTTACCTTCTATAGGAAAGAGCATATTCACTTGAGGAAAGGAGAACTGGGAAGTGGAAGGAACTGCACTGGAAACTAACTAGAAAATAAGTCATCCTCTTGGAAGAAGAATCTCCCGCCCCAAGGGCACAGCCTACCATAGCCGGGCTTCCTCTCCAGGAATATTTTAGTGCATCTTGATCATTCTGGCCTTGGAACTGGAATTCAAAGGGGTTTCCAAGAGGGCAAGCATAATTTCCTGGTCACTTGCAAAGCCAGTAGGCCCATTTTCTGCATCAGCAACCACTGCCTCAGTCCCTGAACTTTGCATGGCATAGATCCTTAGGGGAGGGCAGTTTTTCTCTCAGGCTGTGACCGTAGGTCACTACCGCAGTGTCACGAGCCCTGGCCACCCAGCTCTATTCCTTCCTTTTCCCCCATTTCACCCCAAGCAATGGGGAACTTTACATGAATTGAAAGTGTTTCTCAATAGGAAAACAGTCTGGTTTATAGCATAATTCTGACCTGCAGTTTTACTGTTAAATAGGGATATTTTTAGTTACCAAATTTGTAGTGCTGGCTCACCAAATGTTTTTGTACTTTCTTTGTTTCCTTAAAGCCCCGTCACTACAAAAACATGCTGTTGAACCTTTCCCATATATTCATCTCTAGCTTTCCTTTGTGTGGGTACCAGGTGGTGGGCCTGCCATGCCCTTCTGGGTTATCAGAGCAAGCATGCAATCGGAGATCCTCAGCCCAGACTTTTCTCCCCTTCTCTTTGTAACCGCCACCTCCAGCTCAGTCCTGTGCCATGAGAAGACTTACACAGAGGTGTGTGGACATCCTAGTCCCTGATGACCAAGCTCTGAGATATCCCTTTCCAAAAAGCCCCCCCTTGAGCCTGGGGGTATGCACTCCATGCGTGCAGTTGGCCATTGGGTGCCACGTGCTTGGGGAAGATGCCAGCATCCAGCCCTGGAAGTGAGCTCTGGGCCAGCATTTGAGCAGGGGATGCCATGATCTCAGGTACCTGCCAGGTGGTCTATTATTGGAAGGGGCATGAGGTCTGGCCCTCATGGATACCTCACCTGTGGGAAGATTTAGGACAAGAAGACCAGAATGGGGTCCTATTAGTCGTGGGGGCCACTATCCTATCAATAACTGTGGTGTTCAGCTTCACTTGCTGCCAAACATTCAAATTATTCCTCCCCCCCCCAGCGTTTGATTAGAGGAATGCCTTTTCTTCCTTCTCTCCTCCCTTCCCCATCTCCTTCCCTCCCCTCCCCTCTCCTCTCCTCTCTTCCCCTCTCCCCCTCCCCTCCCCTCTCTTCTCTTCTCTTCCCTTTCCTTTTCTTCCCCACCCTCATCTGATTCCCTGAACCCCTCCCTTCCCCTCCTCTCTTCTTTTCTGCTCTTCTCTTCTCTCCTTTCCCTTCCCCTCCCCTCCTCTCTTTTTTACGCTTCCCTCACTTCCCGCTTCCCGTTCCCTTCCTTTCCCTTCTCTTCTCTCTCCTCTCTTTTTCCCTTCCTTCCCTTCTTCTTTCCTTCTCCCTTTTTTCCTTTCCTTCTTTCTTTCTTCTTCTTCATGTGTGTGTAGCACTTTTGCGGTGTTGCATGTTGCCAGATACCTGCTCAGAAGAGTTGATTAATGTGCGATCTCTGCTTCCTCAGCTTTGTCAGGCTTGTTCCTGTAAGTACAAGTGTTTTATCTTGCTTGTCAGCTCTCTCCAATTTTGTAGTTTAAAAGCTTGTTTATCTTCACTTCTAATTTTAGTGTCAGCGTCCCGATACACTTTCAGTTCAGATACAGCCTACCATTGCTTAACAGAAAACTAACAGATTCAATTCTAGAATTGAGACACCAGGTTTGCAACGTTTTAGTTCCTGTTTGTGGGGCCATTGTATTTGGGGAACATTCTGTGATTGTTCATTTTGTGTGTCAGCTTGACTGGATCATGGGCTGCTCACAGAGCTGGTTAAATATTACCTCTGGGTAAGTCTGTGAGGACTGACTGGAAGAGATGACTCTGGGTCCGTGGACTGAATGAAGTAGATAGCTCTCCTCAGTGTGGATGGGCCTCCCCTAATCCACTGGGGGCCTGGCTAGAACTAAAAAGGTGGAGCAAGATTGAATCTGCGTGCTCCTCACTGCTCGAGTTGAAACTTCTA